TTATACACCAATTATGAACACTCAGAAAGAGAAACTGAAAAAAGATCCCATTTACCATTGCAACAAAATAATTAAGATACCTAGGAATAATCTTCATCAAAGAAGTAAAGGATCTGTTCACAGCAAACTACAGGACATTGAAAAAAGAAATAGAGGACGATATAAAAAAGTGGAAGCACATACCATGTTCATGGATTGAAAGAATTAACATCATTAAAATATCCATACTACCCAAAACAACCTATAGATTCGATGCAATCCCCATTAATATACCAACGACATATTTCACAGATCTAGAACAAATACTCCAAAAGTTTATGTAGAACCAAAACAGACCCCAAATAGGCACAGCAATCTTGAAAAAGAACAAAGTTGGAGGGATCACAATTCCAGATATCAGGGTACACTACCAAAGCCACTGAAATTAAAATAGTCTGGTACTGGCACAAGAACAAGCATAGAGATCAATGGAACAGAACAGAGAACCTGGAAATCAATCCAAGACATTATGCTCAACTACTAATATTTGATAAACGTAGCAAGAACACAGAATGGAGTAAAGACAGTTTCTATAATAAATGGTGTTGGGAAAATTGGACAGCTACATGAATTAGACCACCAATTTCAGCCATACAAGAATAAACTCAAAATGGATAAAAGACTTAAATGTCACTTGTGAAACCATAAAAGTCCTAGAAGAAAATGTAAGCAGCAAAATCTCAGATATCACACACAGCAGAATTTTTACCAATATATCGCCTAGGGTAAGAGAAACAAAGGAAAAAAATTAATAAACAAGACTAGACCAAACTAAAAAGTTTCTGCACAGCAAAAGAAAGCAATTGTCAAAATGGAAAGGAACCCACTATATGGGAAACCATAACTGCCAACGATACATCAGATAAGGGGTTAATTTCCAAATTATATAGAGTACTAATACAACTCAACAAAAGGAAGACAAAGAACCCAATTAAAAAATGGGCAGGGGACCTAAAGAGACACCCCTCCAAATAGGACATACTAATGGCCAAGAGACATATGAAAAAATGTTCAACGTCACTAATCATCAGAGAGATGCAAATTAAAACGACTATGAGATATACCTCACACCTGCCAGAATGGCGGCCATCAACAAATCATCAATCAAGTGCTCGCGAGGGTATAGAGAAAAGGGGACTCTAGTGAACTGCTGGTGGGAATGCAAGACTGGTGCAGCCACTATGGAAAACAATATGGTGTTTCCTCAAAAAATTAAAAATTGAATTGGCATTTGATCCAGTGATCCCACTTCTTGGAATATATCCAAAGAAGCCTGAAACACCAATCAGGAAGAATATATGCACCCCTATGTTCATAGCAGCACTATTTACAATTGCTAAGATCTGGAAATAGCCCAAGTGTCCATCAACAGATGAGTAGATAACAAAGCTGTGGTACATATACACCATGGAACACTATGCAGCTTTAAGAAAGAAAGATCTGCCCTGGCCGGTTTGGCTCAGCGGTTGGAGCGTCGGCCTGCGGTCCTGAGAGACCCGGGTTCGGTTCCCGCTAAGGGCGCGTACCTCGGTTGCAGTTTGTCCCCGGCCCTGGTCGGTTGTGCGGGTGGCAACCACTCGATGTGTCCCTTCACGTCGATGTTTCTCTCTCTCTCTCTGTTCCTCTCTCCTTCCCACTCTACCTGAACAAAAAATGGAAAAATGTCCTCGGGTGAGGATAAAAATAAATAAATAAATAAAAGAAAGAAAGATCTCTTATCCTTAGAGACTACATGGAGGGACCTGGAGAGTATTACGCTAAGCAAAATAAGCCAATCAGAGAAAGACAAATACCACATGATCTCACTTTGTGAAATATAATGAACAGAAAAAGCTGATGAACAAAACAGACCCAGAGATATAGAAAGGAGTATGGTTCAGACTGACAAACTTCAGAGGAGGGGGGCTGGGGGGGAAAAGATGAGATAAACCAAAGAACTTATATGCATGTATGCATAACCAATGGACACAGACAACAATGCTTGGGGCAGGGAGGGGGGAGATAAGCAGGAGGGTGTCTGGGGGGGGGGGGATGAGAAACATCAGTAACAAAAATTAATTAATTAATTAAAAAATTAAAAAGTAACTATTATTGATCATCTGAAGTCTGAAAATAACTTAGAACAGTCAATAGATCTAACCATCATAATAGCCAACTCTAGATGTAATTGAGTGATTTAACAACAAAGAACTATTTATGATGAATTTTACAAGGCCGAGAAATAAAACTTAAATCACTGAAACACAAATTAACTGAAAAAAAGCCTCGTTTATCTTCAATTATCTAACAATTTCAACTAGTTATCTCATTTTTAGAAAAGTTCACTGAAATATTTCAACATTTCACATGACATTAAAATGAAAAATATAATTATTAACCCCTGTGCCCCAGTCCAACCAGCTGGTTCCAGTCAGAGGAACTGTTCCTTAACCCACCCGCTCCACCCTGCACTCCTGACAACATGGCGCTACAAGCTGACCAGAACAGAACGAGCTGCTTCAGCGCTCACGAAGCTCTGACCCTTGCAGTCCTGGGGGCTGAGAGTGGATGCAGTTCTGGTGTTGGCCTGCTTTGCACTAAGTGTGTAAATTCACAAAGATCAATGGATAACAACAGAAAATGTTACTGAAACAGTGGGAAACATTAATTTTGCACAGGAAGCTTTGGGAGATGGCAAATGCTGTTTACTATAGTCTCCCTGAGGTTGGGACAAAATTGAACATGTTAAGTGTGAAACCTGCTAGTGAATTCTATTCTCCTCTATCAAGAGAAGTAACTGAAATTAATGAAGCTCTGGAAGAAAATCCAGGACTTGTCAACAAATTTTGTCATGAAGATGGTTGGCTGACCAAGATGACATTGAATAACCCTTCAGACTTAGATGAACTAAAGAGCCCTTAACCTGGGGACAGTCATGTAGGACCAAGCCCTTATCCAGGAAATAGTGTCTGAATTGAGTTTAATTGTAGGACACCCAGCCTGGCCAGTGTGGTTCATTGATTGAGCATTAACCCATGCTCCAAAAGGTCACCAGTTCGAGTCTTGGTCAGGGCACATGCCCAGGTTGTGGGCCCAATCCCCAGTGGGGGGGCATGCAAGAGGCTGTCAATTGATGTTTCTATCTCTCTTTCTCCCTTCCTCTCTGTCTAAAAATCAATAAAAAATTATATATATTTTTTTAATTATAGGACACCCAGTTTGTGTCTGCCAGAGTCAGAGAACTGCTTGGTGTGGGGAGAAAACACTACAACCCTGATGACCAGAGTGAAGTGTTGGGAGTAGAGGAGAAACACAAAAAAAAGCTTTTCCCTTACAATTTTACTAAGTGACTTTCTAAGTGAGTGGTATTATCTGCATTTTATTGATAATGACAAAGAGGTAGGCTGAAAGCAGTGAGGTCCACACCATAAGGATTGAAGCAAGAACTCAAATCCAAGTGTGCGTAACTAAGACTGAAGGTCACATTTTTAATTTTAATACTCTGCCTCTAATAAGTCAACTGTATAAGCTATAGGTAATTTTTTTAAAGAATAGTTTATTACCAGGCTGGTGTGTGGCTTAGTGGATTGAGCATTGTCCCACGGACTGAGAGGTCCAGGTTCAATTCTCGGTCAGGGTACATGTCTGGGTTTTGGGCTCAATCCCCAATAGGGGGTGTGCAGGAGGCAGCCAATCAACGTTTCTCATATCAATGTTTTTATCTCTCTCTCCCTTCCTCTCTCTCTAAAGAAATCAATAAAAACATTTAAAAAATAAATAAAATGCATTAAAAATAATACTTTATTGATATTTAGAGAGGAAGGGAGAGAAAGAGAAATACTGATGTGATAGTGCAAGATGGATCAGCCCATTACAGGGGATTGAGCCCTCAACCCATGCATATGTCTTTGACTGAGAGTTGAACCAGTAACCTTTTGGTACATGGGATGACACCCAACCATCTGAGCCACCAGGCCAGGGCAACTCTTAAAAATTTTAATGGAATCCAGAATAAACAAAAAACATATACATCCTTATTCAGAGAAATCCTAATGAAGAAACTAGTGTCAACTCTACTATGGCAGGCAGTTAGACAGACATGAGCAGAGAGCAAGAATGATGGACCAGGTACAGGGCAGGATGGACCAGGTACCTAGCAACCAGCAAAACTAGGGAAACAAGCATCTCTTCCCCAGGGTAATCTTTTCTCCCCTAGCATATCAGTGGCCATGTGGTTTAGATCTCCTGACCTTTCATATTGCTGATCATGGGATTCGGATCCTTCCCTGACCTTTCCCCCGCTGGCATGTTGCTATTCATGTGGGTTAGACCCCCTTAGACGAGGAACAAACAAGAGGGCCGGAGAATAGCAGAACCCAGGACAATGAGGTTCTGACCTCATCAAATACACCTAGGCCTCAGTTGTATTTCAGCTACCGGCCAAGAAAAGCAGCAAAACCAGATATGACGTCAGGGCTAGCTGCATTGACTGATGACAGCCTGCCTTGGCACCAGACCAGAACCTTGAAAGAACACACCTGGAAAGCTGATGAATATACTATTGAGATGCTCTCCTGGGACCTCCCCTAAAATTCCCCCACCCTTAAAAGCCTTTGCTCTCTCTCCCAGAAGCGAGCCTGTGCCTTTCCCCTCTCCCCCTCTACTTCCCCTCAGGTGGGTTTTCCTTGCCTCTCTCTTTCTCCTAAGCTCCAAGGGCCCTTCTTTTGCCTCAGTAACTTCTTTCCTGAGCCAATTTCTTCTACCATTCACTTCTTCTACCTCTGTGACTTTCTAAATAAACTTTCTCATATAGTTTGGGTCTTAGCTCTGAATTATTTCTTAGCCAGAACTGAAGTACCAAGGCTGCTGTACCAAGGTCTGGTCTGACCTCATGGGTCTAACACCTGGTGCCATTCTCACAACCACCAACACTATGATTTATAATTTCTAAACCATTCTCAACACAAAAAATAAAAACATACGTGCAATTTTTCTTTTGCCCAAACACTTTGCTCTATTCGACTGTTTTGTCTTCATTTTCTGCAATCCATTCTCCTCCTTTGGTTCCTGTTGCAAAACAAGAAAAATGATCAGGATGACTACCATTAAAAATAGCACTCTTTCGCCCTGGCTGGTCTGGCTCAGCGGTTAGAGCGTCAATCCGGGTTTGGTTCCCTGCTAAAGGCACGTACCTTGGTTGCAGTTTGTCCTGCAACCCCTAGTTGGGGTCGTGTGGGTGGCAACGACTCGATGTGACATCGATGTTTCTCTCTCTCTTCCTCCTTCTCTCCCTCCTGTTCTGTCTGAAGAGAAATGAAAAAAAAAAAAAATTTCCTCCAGTGAGGATTAAAAAAAAATATATATATAGCACTCTTTTAATCTCCTCTAAAACTAAGAGGCCACCGAGCCTCTGACGAATCAGTAGTTGTAAACATTCACGGAAAACATCAGTAAAAGATCCTTACAGTACTGCCCTGGCTGGGTGGCTCAGCTGGCTGGAGCACTGTTCCATACACCAAATGGGTTCGATTCCTGATCAGGGCACAGGTTCAATCCCTGGGTGGGGTGTGTACAGGAGGCAATCAATAATAATAAATGTTTCTCTTTCACATTGATGTTTCTCTCTCTCTCTCCACACCCCTTCCTCTCTAAAATCAATTTTTAAAAAAGATCCTAGCCCCAGCCAGTTTGCTAAGTGGTTAGAGCACTGGCCTATGGACCAAAGGGTCACGGGTTCAATTCCCTATCAGGGGCACATATCTGGGCTGGAGGTTCGATCCCCGGCTCTGGTTGGGGTCATGTGGGAAGCAACCAATCAGTGTCTTTCTCATCAATATTTCTCTCTCCCCCTCCTTTCCACTCTATCTAAAAATCAATGGAAAAACATCCTCAAGTGAGGATTAACAAAAAAAATTTTTTTAATAAAAATTTAAAAAGACCCTTTACATACCAAAAAATGTAGATCTGGAACCAATAAATATCATAAAAGTTAAATATATATATGTTGACATTATTATCTGTCATACACATTGTTACGTAAAAACTGGACCATCTGCAAAATAACAGTAAGCATGCACAAATGTTCAGAAAAAGCTTGACTGAAAATTTAAAATCAATAGTAATGTTTTAACTCAGTGCCTATTTATTTTTTTCAATCAGTACTTCAAAGAGCAAGAGAAAAACAACTTGGGGAAAGTATGCAACATATATGTCAGATAAAGGGCTAATACTCCTTATATAGTCATACACTACATAAAGACATTTCAGTCAACAACGTACTGTATATACATTACGGTAGTATCATAAGATTATAACAAAGCTGAAAAATTCCTATCACTGAGTGACAGCATAGCCACTGCAACATCACACACAACATATTACATGTTTGTGGTGATGTTGATATAAACAAATCTACTGTGCTGCCAGTCATAAAAGCATAGTACACACAATTGTGTATAGTACATAATACTTGATAATAATAATAAATGACTATGTTACTGGTTTATGTATTTACTATACTTTTTATTGTTTACAGTATGCCATGTTATACCAGCAGTAACCTCAGACATCTTTACCATATCTCTCTTGATTTTCTCTTATGCTTGATGAACCTTGTATTGTTTTATACAGCAACATGCTGTGCAAGTTTGTAGCCTAGGAGCAATAGGCTATACCATATAGCCTGGATGAGTAACCATCTAGGTTTGTGTAAGTACACTCTATCATGATCACAAAACAATGAAATCTCCTAACAATGCATTTCTCAGAATGTGTTAATTCCATAAATATATATAAAGAGCTCTTCAATAAAAAGACCAATATTTAACCTCTCCCCATAGGAAAAGACATAAGACACTTCATAGAAAAACATACACAAGGGGTTCATAAGTATATGGGAAGATGCTCAACTTCACTTTGGAAATGCAAATCAAAACAATTACATAGATACTATTTTTTTTTTTAACTATACTAAGTAAAAATGAAAATGTTTTATGAAACACTTACTATGGGGAAACAGGTACTCTCATATCACTGATGGGATAAAATGGATGCAATATTCTAGTTTAGAGGACAAATTGGCAATAACCTCTAAAACCATAAATATACACACTCTTTGTCCAGCAACATACTTCTAAGAATTTATCCTACAGATATGCTTACATATTAGCATAAAGATGTATACACAAGAATGTTCAGAGTAGAATGTTTTGTTATTATAAAAGACTGTAAACAACCTCGATCAATACTACTCAAAGTATGATCTACAGGTGACAATCAGCACACTGCTTGTTACTAGTCTGCAACAAAATAAGCATAGAAATTGAGAATAAGCATTTAGAAACTTTTACAGCAATGTGACATTGCTACAACATCCATGCAGGATAAGAGGACTTCCACAGTGAAAGATGCAGACTAGTTATTTGCAAAAGCACCAAATTATAATATGTGATATTTTAAAGTTAGTTACTTATTAAAATCCAAAGTATATAAATATCTTAGAAAACATGGACATTTATTTATAACTTATATTAACTATAATTTTATTTTTTAATCAAGCCTATTTTTTAAAATTATACTTTAATACTATCAGCTAAATAAGAAAAGTAAAGTTCATATTATTTATTTTTAATCTTAATTTACAGATTTCAAACAAGCTTCACTGGACTTTTTTTTTTTTTTTTTTTATCCTCACCCGAGGACATTTTTCCATTTTTTGTTCAGATAGAGCAGGAGGGAGAGAGAGGAAGAGAGAGAGAGAGAAACATCGATGTGAAGGGACACATCGAGTGGCTGCCACCCGCACGACCAACCAGGGCCGGGGACAAACTGCAACTGAGGTACGTGCCCTTAGTGGGAACCGAACCCGGGTCTCTCTGTACCGCAGGCCAACGCTCCAACCGCTGAGCCAAACTGGCAAGGGCGTTCACTGGACTTTTGTCATCAAGAATAGACAAATCTTTCTGATCTAGCAGTACCAATAAAAGAAATAATGATTCAAGTAATTGTGAAGAAGTAAAGGGCAAAAGTTTCATTCTAGTTTTTCTGAGAAGAATAATCCTTCACATAATGAGTGCAGTTTTAAACCCACAATGGAGCCCTGGCCGGTTTGGCTCAGCAGTTAGAGCGTCAGCCTGCGGTCCACAGAGACCCGGGTTCGGTTCCCGCTAAGGGCATGTACCTTGGCTGCAGTTTGTCCCCGGCCCTCGTTGGGTCGTGTGGGTGGCGGCCACTCGATGTGTCCCTTTCACATCGATGTTTCTCTCTCTTCCTCTCTCTCCTTCCCGCTCTATCTGAGTAAAAAATGGAAAAATGTCCTCGGGTGAGGATAAAAAAAAATTAAAAAAAAAATAAACCCACAATGGATGGTGTAGTATAACAATTGGAGTGTCTTATTTCTAAATACATACTAAGAAAACTATGAAAACTTAAACATTTATATAGAAAATAAAGTTAAGTTCAAAATCAAAAAAATTCTAAGAGAGTATTAAATTAATAAGCTCACACAGCCCTGGTCGGTGTTGCTCAGGGGTTAGAGCATTGGCCAACACACAGAAGGATCGCAGGTTCAATTCCGGGTCAAGGGCATGTACCTGGATTGTAGGTTTGATGTCTGGCCCCAGTCAGGGTGCGTGCAGGAAGCAACTAATCGATGTGTCTCTCTCACATCAATGTTTCTCTGTCTCTCCCTCTTTCCCCCTCCCCCCCTCCCTTCTACTCTCTCTTAAAATCAATGGAAAAAATATCCTTGAGTGAGGATTAACAAAAATAATAAAACAAATAAGCTCCACAGATGCTTAATATTTCATATATAAATATTAGTACTTTGTAGATTTCTTATAAATACTGGATTTGTTAAGACCAAAAAAGCTATATAGAATTGTCAAGAAATTAGTTCAAGAGGATAACACTGTCTACTTGGAAATGACAGGTGAGTATGAGGTAGCAAAGAAGGTAGCTCAAGTACCATATTCCAATGACAACACAGCTTAACATATTCAGAGAGCAGATCATGATATGAAAGACATTAATAAACAAGTAAAGCTAGCAATATACTTTTCATTGCAACTTCATGGCAACATAGTAATATTTTTAGGAAATGTGTGATGAGCTTGATGGCAGAAAAATCCTTTCAGCTTTATTTTGGACAAACATTAAGTTCTGAACTGTTTCCACTCATCTGAATAAAAATTTTAAATACCACAATCTTATTAAATTAAGATTGATTTCACTACTTTGAATTTTATCTTTTTAAAAACATAAGCTTTAGCCCTGGTTGGTGTGGCTCAGTTGGTCGAAATGTCCCGGGCACCAGAAGGTCATAGGTGAAATTCCCAGTCAGGGCACATACATAAGCTGTGGGTTAGATCCCCGGAAGGAGCGCCTTCAAGAGGCAATCAAGCAATGATGGTTCTCTCTCACATCGATGTTTCTCTCTATCCATTCCTCCCTCTCTTAAAAAAAAAAACTTAAGTTTTAGATATACAATATCCCCTGTGATCCTAACATTGTTATTAACCCTAACTAGAATAGTAAATTAGACAAGAAAAAAGCTCGTTTGTCAAAATAATAACTTTAAATACTGATATACATAGTGTTCACTGAAAAGATGTGTATAGATGTTTAATATAGGGTTCACTATATCACACATAACTTGAAACCCCATTGTGCTGAGCACCTGAGGAAGTTTTTCAATCAACTGACAACCCAAAACTCATCAAGAAACCTCGACTGCTAGCCTCCAGGCAAAAAGCTAGAGGATAACAGTACCTTTCCTGGGCTAGCAACTTTAACCAGGAAAGTAAGACTTGACAGTGGTGTTTAACGTGGGTCCTCCCTCGCTCATCTAAACACAGGAGAGGGAGCCACAAACAGCAGTACACCAACACCCAAGGGAAAACTTGACAGGCTCCAAAGCTCACAGTGATAGCCAAAATGGTGAAACACAGAAACAAAAGCCGAATGAAAGAGCAAGAGACCTCCACCGAAGATGAGATCAATGTGGAGCAATTAGGCATGTTAACAGAGCTAGAATTCACAGCCATGATCTTGAGGAAGCTGAACAGCAT